AGGACGAGGAGGAGGAGAGGGAGGAGGAGGAGTGGAGGAGCTCGTCTGCGGATGAGGTAGGCCAGCGAAGGTTCGCTCTTGGGTTTGGAACCTGTGCTGTGTTCACTGTCTGCGTCCCTAGCACAAGCCGGGGTCCCCAGTGGGGACCATTAGCCCTAATGGAGACCAGCAGTCTCCTAGGCTGTGTCTAAAGAATAACAAACGTACGCACACTTTTCATTGCTGCCAGCAGAGATCCCGTTTTCACGTCCCAGCAGTACTTTTTAAATTTCACCTTCCTGTCCTCACATCCCATCCTGCAACCGACTCTGTCATCCGCCCGTGACTCTGCCCCGCTCCCGGGTCCTCTGCCTTCCCCCAGCTCCTCTTTATGGCAGAGACCAGCTTAGCCGCCCCGTTCCACCTCTCTCCCCAGTCTCTGACTGTGTAAGAGCACAGATCCGTATCCAGGTTGGCAGACGGCTGTCCTCAGAGTGCAGGTAAGTGACCTCATATGAACGGATCTCACCCTCAGAGCACATTCAGACTCACAGGACAGAAATGTGAGCTCCATAAGCATGGCATCGCAGAGACTCCTTTCCTGTACCTCTGTGGCAGGATTGGCACATGAGGCCTCTGAACAGGGGCCACAGGCAGGTGCGAGAAAAGAGGGCGGGACACCAAGGATAAAACAGTGACTTGGTGAGGACTCCTGTCTTGGTCTGTTCAGGCTGCTATCACGGAATACCATGGACTGGGTGGCTTATAAACACCAGAGATTGATTTCTCACAGTTTTGGAGTCCGGGAATTCAAGATCCAGGCACTGGCAGCCTCAGTGTCTGATGAGGACCTACTTCTTGGTAATAAACAGCTCTTTTTTTTTTTCTGTGTCCTTACATGGTGGAAGGGGCAAGCTCTCTGATATTTCATTTTTAAGGGCACTACCGCTGTTCATGAGGGAGGGCTCTGCCTACTTGCCCTGATCATCTCCCAAAGTCCACCTCCAAATACCAACACACTGGGGATATGAATTTTGGAGAGGCACCAACATTCAGTCTATGGCAACCATGCAGCCATTATTCAGCTCCAGCCAGTGATGCCATTTGGGAATGCAGACTCAGAATTGCCAGATTTTCTGATTTTTAAGAGAAATCAGAAATCCAGATTTTTAGGTGGCATTTCCCTATTTTAAAAGCATTATATGGGCAAAATATAAACATAGACAACTTTCATCCCACAGGTTTACAACCTCTGATGTCGAAGGACCTATGGTAAAGATTACCAAGTCTGTTCAATGACGCCGAGTTTAAAGTCTTGTTTTCTGCTTAGGTCAAAGCCCAGGAGGAGAGTCTAGGGGAGATCTCCCAGGAGGAGATGGAGTTCTTCACAACCTCTAGTGGGAACACTTACTTTGTTTTCCTACCCCTGAAACAAGAAGAGAACAGCAAGACACCCCATTCCAACCTTCCTGCCATTTTCTTCAAGGACAGTTCCAGTGCCAGGGTCTTAGAAGAAGTGATTATTCCATCCAGACTAGTTTTAGAGATTAAGAAACAGTGAGTGAAAATCCCTTTTATTCTCATTCTCTTTGAGTTTTATTAACAAGCTGAAATATAATAACGAAAGATTGGACTAGTTTCAGATGGAAAAGAAAGCAAATACCATATGCTAACACATATGTATGAAATCTAGAAAGACAGTACTGATTTACCTATTTGCAGGGGGCAGCAAGCATTCTAACTTCTGAATTAGTTCTGCTTGTTTGTGAATTTTATTTAAATGGAATCATATAGAGTGTATTCTTTTATATCCAGCTTCCCCTGGTGAGCATGTGTATATATTTCTGTTAGATATATAAGTAAGAGTGGGTTACTGGGAAGTTGACTTATATGTGTGTGTCCATCTTGAGGAGATGTGACCAAAAGATACTACCAAAGAGTTTTCAAAAGTGGTTTGTTTTAACAGTTTGCAGCAATGTATGAGAGTCCAGTTGCTCCATATCCTCACTTGGTATTTATTGTCGGTGGTTTTTATTTTAGGCACTCTGGTGTGTGTGTGTAGTGGTGCTTCATTTTCCTGACGAATAACAATGTCGTGCGCCTTGTTATATACTTATTGGCCATTTAATCACCTTTCTGTGAAATGCCTCATTAAATTCTTTGCTTATTTGTGGTAGATTACCTATATTTTTTCTTACTGATTTAAGTGAGTTAGTTGCCTGCCTTAGACCAGGGTTTTTTTGTTAGTTAAACACATCGTGAATGTTCGTACCTTCTCTGTGCTTGTCTTTTTTTTTACTCTTGTAAAGATAGCTTTTGCCAGATATCTTTTTAGTAAGGTCTTAGTCATCAATTTTTCCACTAGGGTTAGTGTGATTTCTGTCTTCTCTAAGAAATCTTTGCTTGCCCCAAGGTCATGAAAATATTCTCCTGTGTTATCTACCAAAAATGTTATAAACTTTCACAGTTAGATGTACAATTCAGCTGGAATTGATACTTGCTTACGTGTGCGGTAGGAGTCAAATTCACTTCTGTCCTGTGTGAATAGCCAGTTAAGGCCAGGCCATTTGAGAAGACTCCTCTCTCTCCACTGCCCTGCCAGGCCTCCCCTGACTGATGGTGCGTGTGCCATGTACTCGGTCATGTCCAGCTCTCTGCTGCCCACCAGGCTTATCTGTTCATGGACTTTTCCAGGCAAGAATATTTGCCTGCGAGTGGGTTGCCATTTCCTACTCCAGAGGATCTTCCTGATGCAGGGACCCCGACTGATTACCATAGCTTATACTAAGTCTTACTATCTGGTTGTGTAAGTCCTCCAGACTTGACTTCTCCAGAATTGTCTTGACTATCCTTGGCCCTTTTCTATTTCTATATAAATTTGAAATCAGCTCATCAGTTTCTGTAAGAAGACATCTGCTGAGCTTTTAATTGTTATAGAATCTATAGATACATTTGGAGAGAACCAGCATCTTGACAATACATAGCCAAGAAAATCATGCTGCATTTCTAACAGGATGAAACGATCAACTAGCAAAAATATTTGCAGTTCACATCTCAGCCAAAGGACCTTGTGTTCCCAATATATAAAGTGCTCCTAGAAATTAACAAGAAAAAGCGCAACTACATCCTAGAGTGGTGGGCAAAAGATATTAGTGGATGGTATAGATAGAAAAAGAACTTTAATAGTCTTGAACTCATAAAAATATGCTCAGTCTCAGTCATAATATGACAAAATTGTCAGATTCAAGGGTTTGACAATACAGTCTGAAGCTATGGAGAAACTGTTGTTCAGTCACTACATCGTGTCTGACTTTACAGACCTGTCTGCAGCACGCCAGACTCCTCTGTCCTCCACTATCTCCCAGAATTTGCTCAAATTCATGTCCAGTGAGTCAGCGATGCTATCTAACCATCTCAGCCTCTTCCTCCCCCTTCTTTTACCTTCAGTCTTTCCCAGCATCAGGTCTTTTTGATGAGTCGCTATTTGCACCAGGGGGCCAAAGTATTGGCGCTTCAGCTTCAGCATCAGTCCTTCCAATGAGGATTCAGGGTTGATTTCCTTTAGGATTGACTGGTTTGATCTCCTTGCTGTCCAAGGGACTCTTATGAGTCTTTTCTAGCACCATAATTTGAAAGCATCAATTCTTCAGCACTCAGCCTTGTTTATGGTCCAACTCACACCTGTACATGACTACTTGAAAAATCTTTGACTGTACGGACCTTTGGCAGCCCAGTGATATCTCTGCTTTTTAATACGCTGTCTGAATTTGTCATAGATTTTTCTTCCAGGGAGCAGGCATCTTTTATTTTCATTGCCGCAGTCACCATCCACAGTGAGAAATGGAGAAATAGGAACTTTTATTCATTGTCATGCAACAGAAGCAGTTTGGCCATATCAACCAGATCCACAAATGTATTTCAGGTTTTGATTCAATAATTCCCTTTCAGGGAATTTATCCTATAGAAATTATTCTACACTTGACACATGTATGAGGTTACACATTACAGTCTTCTTGGTAAGAACAAATGAATGGAAACCAGGCTATGTCCACCAACCAGGGGATCTGGCTAAATGAATAATGGTCCACCCAGACAAAGAGATACAATGTAGTGGGAAATTAAATAAGAAAGAAGGAGTGGAAGAAGGAAGCACTGTATGTATCGACCTGGAGAGACCTCTCCCTGGTCACAGTTGCTGACCTCGCTGGCCTCTCCCTCAGGCTTCGAACTGGCTTTTTTGAGCACTTGGAGAAGTGGTTTGACCAATGTGCCCTCAATGCTCGGGTCCTCATGGCCAGCAAGACTGATGAACTGGATTCAGAACTGGAGCTGCGTCTGCACCTGCACCAGCCAAGAGCCCAGCGCATTGAGAAGGACATCCACAACGTCAGGGCAGGTACCGTGGCTCTGCATTCATCAGGCAGCCCCGGTTTGCACCACACAACACTGAGCATGTTGTCGTCACACCCCGGAAGATGTGTGTGAGGGTTCACACCTCCCAGGCTGGCAGAGAAGGTTGTACCCAGAATCCTCATCTAAGATCTTTTAAAGAGGGTGTTAGATGCTGAAATGAAGAATATTGTCTTATTTTAGCTTTATCAGTCCCAGATACATTCCCACACCTGTCATTCACATTTCATGACGGATGCCCTAGAGGCAGGCCTGTAGCTCAGGACTCAGAGCTAGTAGGCTCAACCTCTCTAGCTGTGTGACTCTGGGCAGGTTACATGACCTATCTGATCTGTTCCTAACCTCCTGAGGGTATTTTGGTGGTGGTAGTTAACTCTCCTTGAAGTGGTACAGTGCAGAATCATGAACAACTGGTATAAGCCAGAGTCTCCAAAAGTGGTAGCCATTATTTTCAGCTTATAGTTTTTAATACTTAAAAAGTGCCATTTCTCTCTAAGGCAGAAGGCTCCATCATTTTGGGGGAGGGCACTTTTATTTGAAAGCTTCAGTGGTGCCCATCAGGTTTTCATCTATCATACTTGAAACTTCATCATAGATCCTGAGAGCTTCCTGTGGCCTTAGGAGACCTGCTTTACTTTTTGGGGCCTCGTTGTCCTCATCTGGGAAATATGTGCATTAAATATAAATATAAACAAAGATGCTCCCTGAAGTCTGGTTTCCTTTCTCTTCCCTGGCTCCTGGCCCAACGCACAATGTGAAACTGGAGGCCAGAGAAGCAAAGCCCCAGAGTCCCGCCATTTGTTCTTGGCAGAGCTGAGCCCACGGCACATCCCCCACTCCAGGCAGTAGGAGGTCAGATGAGGTAACCCAAGGCTCTCTGCTAGCTCTTAAGGCCTATGATGGAGCTCTTAAAGTCTGCCATAATTCAGGCTTGTTGGAAATGAGTAACCACTGATAGAAAGGGTCAGATGCCAACTGCCAAACTTTGTGGTGGCCTTTTGCTCCCAGACCCTCTCACCAAAATCCCTGCCCTCCTCAACGCCCATCCCACTGCTCCCAGACCTCGTTCCCTTCCGCTTCTGGCAGGGTATTTCCACCACTCACAGCCCACCAGAGCCTCCTCTCCAATTAAGGACACTGGGGCTGTCTCAGACGGGTTCCCCTGAGGTCTGAGTCCACTCCCAGGCTGAGCCCTGGGGAGGGCAGTGGGGACTGGACCTTGGCTAAGAAGTCCCTTCTCTGTAGCTCGCCTGGGAGAGGCACATCACTATCCAGGAGAATGCTGTCCGGAGCGGACCCAGGGTCCCAGAGGACCTCAGCCCCCGCCCCGTGTCCTCTTTCAGCTGAGCTCTTGCTTCATCAAGAACGGCTGGACAGCCACTGTGCAGGGGTGATGGAGACACTGAGGAAGGAGAGGATGATGTTCTGCCAGTTCCAGGAAGAGCAAAACCTGAAGAGCAAACACTTCCGCCGCAAGATTTCTGACATGGAGCACATCTTCTTGAACGCCACCAAGAGCCAGAAGTAAGGGTCTTGGGGGACTCAGTCATGGCCTGGCAGCCCCAGAACCCTGGCCAGGTGTCTCTGCTCAGAGAAGCAGTCCTCCCATCTGCTGTGGGCAGCAGAAGAGTTGGGGTTTCCAGAAGGATTTTCATCTCGTCATGAGAGTAGGAGTCCAACTACAGTGACACATCTGGCCAGGGGCTTGGTTCTGGGGGTGGGGGAGCAGCCAGAGAGAGAAGAGGGTGCAACTGTCAGAGTGCAGGAATACAAAATGATGTGCCCTGACATGTCCATGGTGGGAAAGACCCAGGGAAATCAAGACGAGCTTCCTGGAGGAGACCCTAGGGCATGGAATGGAGGGAGGTGAGGAGGAGGCAGAATTCTCCCACCAGAGAGGAGCACTGGCCCAGCTCCAGGTGGGGATGTGCTCAGGGTAGAACCAGGGTTTCCTGGAAGGCCATTCAGGGATTTGAGGTGAGGCCCCGTAAGGCCTCCATCTGGTCACAGGTGAGGAGACTTCACAGGTACCGTGGTCAGGTACCCAAGAGGCAGCTGGTTAGGGTAGAGTCCGATGTAAAGAGGAAGCCTGCAGGCTGCTCTTTCCGGAAGTCCCAGGGCACAGGAGCCACATTTCTTGGAGTTAAGAGGGGGTGGCAGTAGGGGGAGGACCGGGGGATTCTCTTAGCAATTTGGTGGCAGGAGCCAGACTGAGGAGAGGTGCCCTCCGACCCAGCTCCCTGAGAGTCTGGTACTCTGCACACGCTGGCATTCTGAACTCCCTTCTGAGACCTCTGTCTGCCCCGTGAAGAGAGGCGTGCTTCTGGTGACCGCACAGCTGGGCTCGGGGCTCACGCCATCCCCCGGGCCGCCCTCCCGCGCCCGGGTCGCCTCCCTGCCTCCTGCTCGGGGCGCACGCCATCCCCCGGGCCGCCCTCCCGCGCCCAGGTCGCCGCCCAGCCCTCCTGCATCTCGCACAGCCGGGCTCGGGGCTCACGCCATCCCCCGGGCCGCCCTCCCATGCCCGGGTCGCCTCCCTGCCTCCTGTGTCCCCCAGGCTGGTGACCCTCAGCAGCACTTTGCACCGGGAGCTGCTCAGCTATGTCGACGTCATCCAGGTGTCCCTGCGCAGCTTCCGCCAGTACCTGGAAGAGAGCCTGGGCAAGCTGCGCTACACCAACATTGAGTTCATCAAGCACTGCAGGTGGGAGCCAGCGTCCGGGGCCCCCCCTGGGCCTCTGGGCTCTCTCTGTTGAGAGGTGGTCTTGTGTGCCTCTTCATCTTTCAATTATGACGAAATATCCATAACATAAATCTGTCCTTTTTAACCATTGTATGTGTGGTTCATTGGCGTTAAGTATGTTCACGTTTTTGTACAGCCATCACCACTGTTCATCTCCGGCACATTTTCACCCTCACAGCTGAAGCTCTAAACACTAACTGCCCATTTCACCTTTCTTCAGCCGCTGGGAACCGCTATGCTATTCGTATTTTCGGTCTCTATGAATTTGACTACTCTAGGGGCCTCATAGAAGTGAAATCACAGCACATTTGTTCTTTTGTGTGCTTGACTTTTTCACTTAGCATAATGTCTTCAGTGCCTGTCCGTGTGTCAGAATTTCATTCCTTCTTAAAGCTCAATAATACTCCATCATGTATGATGTGTTTATCCATTCATCCCTTGATGGACATCTGGGTTGTTTCCCTGCCTGTGTCCTTGAACTTTTTCCATGATCTTGTACTTTTAATCTAAAGCCTTGTCTACCACAGTAGTTGGGATGGGTGGAATGGTTCAGGGCTGATCAATGGCTTTTATTTCTCCCAAATTATTTTCAGATTGTTTTCAGAGGGAGGCAACTTTTCTTCTGAAGAAATTGACTCGCTGTGTCATCGACTAGAGAAGGAAGCTGCCCGGATAGAGTTTGTTGAAAATTTAATCATGATCAACATGGAAAAGATGGAGAGCGATTACCTGGACCAGGTGAGTAGGCCCCACCCTGACCTCTAGCCAGACTCCTGTGACACCCGGTTACATAGTTGCCTTGCTCACTGCCTAATAGGCCAGTCAAGCCCCCTTTCCACCCATTAATTGGGCCTGTCCCCCTCTGCTTCCAGAGTCCGAAATTTCCAAATTAAGTCCCACTCCTTTACTTTTTTCTCTTTCTTTAAGGCTAATGAGTTCATCAGCAAGTTTGAAAGTAAATTCCATAACTTGTCCGTGGACCTTATTTTCATAGAGAAAATCCAGCGCTTGCTGACAAATCTGCAAGTAAACATCAAGTGCGAGGTAGGACAGATACGTTCTTCATCTGCTGGATGTTTATCACACACCTGCACAGGCACTGCCCCAGGTGCTGGGGATGCCGGGGTTGTCTCTGCCCCCCTGGGACTGGCACTCCGGCCAGGAAGTCAGAGATTAAATCATAATAGCTTCTGACATCCACCGAGTTATCACACACATGCATCTCAGTGGGCTTATTTTGATGAACTGTTTGAGTCCTCACAAGAGCTGCTCTAAGTCCACTTTATTTTTTTTTTTTTATATATATATTTTTTTCCATTTATTTTTATTAGTTGGAGGCTAATTACATCATTACAGTAGTTTTTGTCATACATTGAAATGAATTAGCCATGAATTTACATGTGTTCCCCATCCCGATCCCCCCTCCCACCTCCCTCTCCACCCAATCCCTCTGGGTCTTCCCAGTGCACCAGGCCCGAGCACTTGTCTCATGCACCCAACCTGGTCAGCCCACTTTAGAAAGAAAGAAATTGAGGCAGAGCCATTAAGAACACACCGTCCCTAAATTGTGGGGCCAAAACGTGAACCCGTGTCTGTGGCACCAGAAATTCAGGCAATGCCTGGCCATTTGGGCTACCGGGGACAAGAGGGCCGCGCGAGGTGCGTGGGGACAGGGAGGAGAGGGTTTCTTCTGGACTGCGGAAGCGGTGCTTCCCAAGCCTTGATGGAGGAGGAGGAGCCAGCCAGGAGGGTGTGGAGCCGTGTCCTGGAGGGGTCAGGAGAAAATCCTGGGGGAGCTGGAGCTCGAAGAAGACGATGCGGGGGTGCACTGAGGCTGGAGCTGCGGCTGGGTCAGCAGGGCCCCACAAGCTGGGCTCCGTGGCGCTGGAGTGAGGGTCGGGGCAGTGGGGATGAGGGTGCTATTGATTACAGTTTTTTAAGCTTCAGTAAAAACTTTTTTTTAAGCGGAAAACTTTCTTCAAAAACATCACTTTGATGGCTTCTGTCTCCCAAATGTGTTGCCATTTTTATTTAACCATTCCTGTTTGGAGGAATTCTTAGTGGGTTTCACTTATTACACACAGAGATGTGATAGACGTGCTTTCACTGGAAGCCCTGCTGATGTCCCTAGGCTGCCTCCCAGAGCTAGAATTCCTGGGCCAGAGCAGGAGTGTTTCAAGGCTCTCTGTGCTTTCCAGGTAGCTTGTACAGATACCCGCTCACCAACAGGGCCTGAGTGTGTCCTCCTAATACCCTCAACCAGTACTGCAGGTCACCAATTTTATTTTTGAAACTTATTTCTTTAGCAGAAAAAAAAACCCTTTAAATTTGCATTGATCTAGTGTCTAATACAGCTTTGCATTTTCCCCTCCAATTTCATTTTTCTCATATTCAACCCAAAACTTTTTCTTGATCAAAATAAGTATTCTGGAAGTAAATCTCTGAACCTCTGGTTTTTCTAGGTAGCAAAATCCAATTTGCAGACAGAGGGATTAAATTCTTCTCTAGAACAGCTTCAAAGCAAGGTACAAATGTGCCGAAGCTCAAAAGGGAATAAACAAGTAAGTGTTCAGTTCAGTTCAGTTCAGTCGCTCAGTCATGTCCGACTCTTTGCGACCCCATGAACCGCAGCAAGCCAGGCCTCCCTGTCCATCACCGACTCCTAGAGTCCACCAAAACCCATGTCCATCGAGTCGATGATGCCATCCAACCATCTCATCTTTCATTGTCCCCTTCTCCTCCTGCCCTCAATCTTTTCCAGCATCAGGGTCTTTTCCAATGAGTCAGCTCTTCGCATCAGGTGGCCAAAGTATTGGAGTTTCAGCTTCAACATCAGTCCTTCCAGTGAACACCCAGGACTGATCAGTAGATGCTAAGCTGTGAATAGTAAAGATGCATGCTAGAATTGTTAACTGGAAATAAACTCACATTTGTGGTATAGATTTCTCTACCACCAGCAGGGCCTCTGAACCTTCCTACGTCACCTCTATTTTATTCAGTGGAATTAAGGAAGAGAAGAGAAAGCAGCCCCAGCCCCCAGCAGCTCCCTGACAGGCATACTGAGGCCAGCGAGCACAGGGTGTTGAGTCTGGCCTTCCTCCCACGCTGATGTCGCGAGGCCTCCCTCCTTATAATTGGAATGCAGCCCTGGATGAGTAGCGGAAGCAGGACTCTGCCCTCTGAACAACCATCTTTTGTTCCAACCAGTGTGCATAAACTGGTTACTTCCATTTTCTACGTGTAAGTGGTGAAAAGTCCAAATTGGAATGAAGTCTGAGAGAAGTGAGGTTCTAAGTGCCCGCCGGGCCCTGATCAGCAAAGCAGGTCTCTGCACGCTTACATCGTTGACTTGCTTGTTCTGCCTCTCGTGCATGTCCCTGTCCCCTGTGATATCCCTGTGGTCAGGGTGTCCTGGCCACCCTGAGCCCTTTTCTCCCCAGCCCAGCCAGGCATTTGTAGACCTGGTGTCCTGGCCAGCAGGTCTTAGCTGTCTGGTTTCAGTAACCGAGTTGAAGTTTTATCATTGTTAGCACTGTTGTTTGCTGTTGTTTAGTTGCTCAGTTGTGTCCGACTCTTTTGTGACCTCATGGCCTCTGAGGCCATGGCTCCTCTGTCCATGGAATTCTCCAGGCAAGAAAACTGGAGTGGGTTGCCCTGCCCTTCCCCAGGGGATCTTCCTGACCCAGGGATGAAACCCGGGTCTCCTGCACTGCCAGCAGATTCTTTACCCATCCTCTGAGCCACCAAGGAAGTCAAGTAAGTTTGAGCCATTTGCTCAGAACAAACCCATAGAACCAGGAATAGAACTCCTGATGCCCCATCCAAGAAGGACCCGCTGCCCAGTAGAGTTGCCCAAGAGAGCTGGCGCAGGGCTCCTCATTCCTCCAGGGCCCTCCCTGCAAGAGGGGCGCCTCCCTGGAGCCAAGAGGTGTCCTCACCAGCCAGCTGGCTCCTGCAGTCCACGTGGAGTCAGCCTGCCCACCTTCAGTCTGCTTCCTGTGGCTTTTTTCCTCCATATTCTCACTAGATAGTGAGCACGGAAGACCTCCTTGGCCTTATTCGAACTTGGAAAGAAAAACTGAGCCAAAGAATTGAGTATCTCAACTGCAAGCTGGACATGATATCCATGACTCACCTGGTCTTTTCCGTAAGGAATGGGATGGGGCAGCCATGGGGAAGAGCATCTGAGCTGTGGGGGCTGGGCTCCCTGGTATCCTACAGGGTTCAGCAGATCCCAGGGAGAGAAGACCCCTCAGGCCCCTGCTGGACATCAGGCCTGCAGGGATGCGTTAGAAAGGCCACAGACTGTGGAGTCAGATCTGGGTTCACACCCCAGGTGGGCCACTTCCCTCACTGGTCCCTGTGGAGATCCGTCACCTCCTGGCAGCACCTCCCCGCCCCATCGGGGCCCTCAGCTCTCAGGGAAGTCTCAGCTCTCAGCTTCTTCCTTCCCGCTCGCTCCCATTAGCAGCCACCAGCTTCTCCCCATCCCACCCCCACTACCTTGTCCAAGCCCCCCAGCTTTTGCACATATGGCTGTCCTGATCCTCGCACTTAGCCCTGTGATCCACTCCCTGAGCTGCAGCCAGGCCTCTTGGACAAGGCCAGTCTGCCCATGTCCCTCTCCTGTCCTCAGGATAAGATCCAGATCCTCACCAGGCCTGCCTCTACCCCTTCATTTCTCTGGTCCCCCTAAGAGCTCAGTTTCCCCGAGGCCTTCACTCACCCACTAGTTTGGGCCAGCATCTCCTGACCCCCGTGGCATGTTCTACTTCCGCATGAACCCACAGACCATTCAGTGAGGTCCCCCTTCTAGGAGCTGCCTCCCCTAGACGGTGTGCCCCAAGAGGGCAGAGCCTGTCACCCTCAGGCCACACTCAGCCTCTCTCACCAAGCTTTCCCCGGAGGTCTCAGCCAGCTTCCAGGAGGACCTGTCCCAGAGCCGATGGCAGTCTGAGGGGATGCCCCGCAAGCCGCGCTCTGCCCGCCCGCAGGCCCCGCCTCTCGCGGCCATGCTCTGATCCAGCCCTCCTTCCTGTGGGGAGGCTCTTCCTGCTGTGCTGCCGGCGCCAGGCTTTCATCACAGCAACAGTACTGAGCCCCGCCAGACGAAACTCAGGAGTCCTGCTGGAGTCCTTGCCTCCGGGGCTTACGGTGCAGCCACGGCACAGAATAAAACAGGGCAGAGCTCACCTAAGTGCTTGTGGTGGGTCCCGCGCTCACTGTTTCTCCAAGGTCCCGCGCAAGGTGGAGGTGGCCACTCACTTATCCACGCACTCGTTCATGTACTTGTCCTTTGCTCAAAAGCACCACCTGGGCACATCTGCGAGTAGCCCAGTTCGTGACCCTCAGCTACAGGGAAGATGCTGTAAGTTTGTTTTCATTGCACTGGCCCCAGTTTGACCATTTATTTGTAGAGGTCCATATTAAATGTCTTGTTTCTCTGACCAGACTGTAAGCTCTATAAGGATAAGAGTCACATGTGGCCCTTTTACCCTGTGTCCCAGGCCCAGGGAGAGCCTTGCAGAAAGCAGGCACTCAACAAATACTTTTGAAGGTCTCGTCATGCACACATGAATGAATGAATGAATGGTCCTCTAAGGTATATATAATCCGTGCTGCTTCACAGAAGGGGCAAGAGAGGCTCAAAGTGGTCAGCCTGCAGCACCTGGGCCCAGTGGTCCTGGGATGGGAACCCAGCCTGCCTGCCTCCCTGACACCCACAATCAGGCCCTGCTCTTTGGCCTGCAGGACAACGTCTTGACTGACCTGGAGGTAGACAGTGACATCTTGTTATCTTCAGAAGTCTATGAAGAAGAGGCTAAGGCAGACATAGTCACCCCTGAGTCCTTTGCCCAGCCAAGCCGCATGGGGAAGTCCATGATTGAAGACCCAGCCGTGGAGGTGGTCAAGAGGATCCTGCAGTGAGTGGCCTGGGTGTGAACAGTGGGGCCCAAGCCTTCAGGGGCCGGTCCCCATGTGAGCCCACCCTAACAGCTGTGGCCTTGTGCAGGCCTCCTTCTCCCCCCAGAGCCTCAGCTTCCTCCTCTGAAGTGGAGCTCACGATTGGGCGGATTTACGTGGCATTGTGGCCTAGCCAGGATGGGGCCCCGTGCCTGGCCTCAGCCATCCTCTTGGTCATTGGGGAAAAGCTCTCATCCTTTCCTTTGGTTTCAGGTTTCCCGACTCGAAGTCCTCAACCCATCAGTGTGACAAAGAACGGTCCCAGACAGGTAGGGGCAGCCAGGCCTGTGAATTTAGGGCGCTGACAGTGGGGTAGCCGGGGGTGCCACCTCGTCCCTCCTCACCTGGGATCCTTTGTTGTTCTCCTGGGTGCCCATCACCCAAAGCCTTGAGGCGAATCCGGAACCGAGCAGAGCACTCCCTGAAGAAGGCCGTGTCCATCGCCAGTGCCACCTCGGCAGCAAGGTAGAGAGGCTAGGCTGCCTGCAGCCTCCCCTTCCCAGACCCGACCCCGACCCCCAGACGGAGGCCAGAGGCTGCCCTGTACCAGCCCGTGTCCTCAGAGTGTGCCTCCTGTGCTAACAGACTCGCCAAATAGGGACCCTCCAAGTTGGGACCCCGCAAGGGGCCGGCTCCAAAGCCTTCCTTAGACAGGTCTGTTCTCACCCCTGCCCAGTGGCTTGACCCTCACAGCCCTCCACCTGAGAGCCTGTCAGGGTGTTGGGGGGTTATCTGCAGTGACAGCTACCTCCCGTACACACTGTGTCTGTCAGGGGGCGTGACCTGGGAGGTGGCTTTCCTTGGATGACATCACAGAGTCTTGGGAGTTCTGGGTCTCTGCATCCTGGCCATGTGTTCTGTCCACTATGCCCTGTCAGGGTTGTTAGACTCATGGCTCAGTGAGCATGGGCCCTGGATGGCCCCTGACACCGACTTTATAGGAGGTGGATGACAGAAGCCACATGGCTGACCTCACTTTCTGAGTCTTTGATGAGCCATTATTGACCTAGTTTAATTCTTGGTTTTGAAGAAGTGACACTGAAGAGATTCCTGCTTTGCATACATCCAGAGAGTCTTTTTGAACAGGTGTGCCATCTGCAGTGTGGAAATAAACAAAGACCAACCAAATGGGAAAAGCAAACACTATGCAAAGCTTGCTACAACCAGGGAAGCAGCCACTATCACTTGCATTTTAACAGAGACACAAAGGCAGGCAAGAGAGTGGGAAAGGGGTGTAGTGGAGAAAAGGGAAGGCTTCAGATGTACCCTGTTGGTGGTTGTTGCCCTGGGAAGGCTGGAGGAGGCCCAAGAGCAGTAGGCATCCTGTGTGATTGGTTAGGGGTATGCATTTGACTTGTTCGTCCCAAGTCAGAAGCAGGGACAAAATCTCAGGGAGCTGTCCTACAGAGCAGGTCCTGGTCTTGTGGGGTGAATTGTTACAGGGGGTATTATTTGGCTTCCTGGATTGTTACTAAAGATATCAATCTGTCTTCCTGCAAGTCTGGCTTCCAGCAGGCAGGCTTCCTGAATGGTTTATTGTAACGAAGGGTTTGGTGTCCTAGGCAGGTTGTTACAGCTTATGAGCCAGGGTTCTCTGTTTATACATGGTGTAACCATTGTCCATTTGTATAATCAGCCTCTCAGTGGTTACCAGTGACATATCTGTGCTGCTAAGGCTGCCAGATGAAAATTCAGGATGTCCAGTTACATTTGAATTTCAGGAAAACAACACATAATTTATTTTTTAATATGAGTATGCCCCAAATAACACATGGTGTGTATGCAGAAAATTGCTTATTGCTTATACGAATTTCAAGCTTATTTTAAAAATTTATTTTATTGAAATATAGTTGGCTTATAATGTGTTAAGGAATTCAAATTTAACATGTGCTTGTATTTGAAAATTTGGCATCGCTGCCTGCGGCTCTCAACCTGTTTCTTTGGGTCCTCACCACAGGGAAGCAAGGATTCTGGTTTCGGGGCTGGAGCCCCTCCGCCCCTCCCCCGGCCTTGAGTGGGCTCCGTCCCTACTCTAAGGCCATCTGCAGAGCTGTCGAGGGATGGGCCGGCAGCTCGAGGGGCCGGGCCGCGCCCGCGGGTCTGGGCAGGGCTGCTGCAGACTCAGGTCTGCCTGCGCCCGGCTCCAGCTTGCAGAGCACTGACTCGCCTTTGCCCCACAGCATCACGCGCTACACCAAGCCCAACCGCCTGGACAGAAAGTACCAGGTGCTCGGCGACAGGCCTCCTCCGGCGGAGTAAGTGTCAGCGCCATTCCTTTAACTCTGCTTTAACCTGTCATCGTTGTCACTTGGCAGCTAAATCTGACTCACTGAGGGGGAAGTAAGCAATAGAGGGACAGAGTAGGAGAGGTTTCGAGGGGCTGGTAAGGGTCAAGGTCTGTTTGTCTCAGCCTGTTTCACCTAAATCTATTGAGAGATGTTTTCACTGAATGTAGGCATTCATCAAGAAGGCATTCTTCTTTCCTTTGAACAATCTGTTTATTTCTGTTCAGTCACCTTTTGTTTATTAAAGGCTAGCTGCTCCATCTCTTGCGATTTGGTTGTAGGGCAGCCAGTCAAGCTTTCTAGACATTGGGCCTGAAGCCCCAGAATGGCCTGCTTGGGAGCAGCCCCTGGCGTTCCAGTTGCCCATCACCCAATTCCACCTGGCGGGGCTTCTTTGGGTCCTGGAGGAAAAGCCAGCTGTAGAACAACTGCGAGTCCCAGCAAGGGCCTGGACGTTTAGGGTTCAGCTGTCAGTGGCGTCAAGTCAGGACGGTGGGGGGAAAATTAGAAATGTTAATGTGAGGAGTTGTAGCCAGATATGAAGGAGGCTAGAAGAGTTGAGCCTGGAGAAGGGAATGGCAGCCCACTCCAATATTCCTGCCTGGGAAATCCCATGGACAGAGGTGCCTGGTGGGCTACAGTACATGAGGCCGCAGAAGAGTCAGACGTGACTCGGTGACTAAACAACAACAGAAGAGTTGAGATTTGATACGAATTGACAAATATGCATGATGGCAAGATCTGATCCAGTTTCCAGGGAAGCCATGAATCCTCAAAGCTAACAAATAGGGTTCAGTTCAATTCAGTTCAGTTCAGTCGCTCAGTCGTGTCCGACTCTTTGCAACCCCATGAATCGCAGCACGCCAGGCCTCCCTGCCCATCACCCAACTCCCGGAGTTTACTCAAACTCATGCCCATCGAGTCGGTGATGCCATCCAGCCATCTCACCCTCTGTTGTCCCCCTTTCCTCCTGCCCCCAATCCCTCCCAGCATCAGGGTCTTTTCCAATGAGTCAGCTCTTCACATGAGGTGGCCAAAGTATTGGAGTTTCAGCTTCAGCATCAGTCCTTGCAATGAACACCCAGGACTGATCTCCTTCAGGATGGACTGGTTGGATCTCCTTGCAGTCCAAGGGACTCTCAAGAGTCTTGTCCAACACCACAATTCAAAAGCATCAATTTTTCGGCGCTCAGCTTTCTTCACAGTCCGACTGTCACAAATAGGGTTAGGATCTACTAATCACGAGAGAGTGCTATAGTTATTGAAACGTGAAATATCTGTTGCTGTTCTTTTTGGTTCTTGTTTATGAAACAAGTCTAGTCTCTTTAGGTTTGGCCTGATTATTTACATAAGTGCAGCAAGAGTGGTAGCCGACCACTGAAACTTTTATGTTTGCATTGCTGGAACTTTTCATAAAGAATCTCAAATTAGACTCTTAAAAGCCTCTTGAGACTAGGAAGACAAGTCAGATTGCACCCACAGTACCTATCGATTTGGGTGAAATCCTCTCTTCTTAAGGTCCCCACAATACTGTAAGGTTTTCCTTACGCACCTATGAAGCTGAGAACCCCGTAAACCAGGTGCCAGGTTGATTTTCCAAAGAGGGCTTAAAAGCATTGTCTCCATCAAGTCAACCTTAGTTTCTTTAAAATGTTTGATCATGTCATGTCTTATACATTGTTGTTCATATGACATTTCTGTCAAAGCCTCTTTTATCAGTGTTTCTAATTATATCCCATCGCAAGAAGGACAACTTCAAGTTGAACTCACGTAAATAAGTATAAGAGTTTTTGAATTCTACAGCACATCTGAGTGGATGCAGCGTGCTTCTCCTTACCTCTTTTCCCCTTTAGCCTCAGGCAGTTGCTTTCAGGAGCCCCTCAGGCCCTTGAGAGCCCTGATAGGATCAAGCTTAGTTCAAGCAGTTCAACTTAGCTCAAGTTTAGTTGAGCTACTTGTTCAACTAGTTAAGTAGTTAAGTACTTCAACTTAACTTAGTTAAGTAGTTTAACTTCGCTCAAGTTTAACTTAGTAGTTAAACTTAGTTCAACTCCCTAGAGGGAGTTGAGGGCTGGAGTGGGAAGGGAAGGGATTGACAGGAAGGACAGAGAGATGGAGGAGGTAGCAGTTTAGAGGGGGGCATATCAGAGGAAACCAGGCAACTGAAGGGAAGGTGGAAGGCGGCAAAATGGGGAAGAAGGAGCAGAGGTGTTGACGGGCGGGGAGGGAGAGGCCTTAGAGGAGCCGGTTTAGGGAGATCTTGTTTTCCCAAGAAGCCAATAAAGTCCCAAACTCTCCTTAGTAGAGCCCTGCCAGGAGCGTGAGTCATGCGACAGAAACTGGGAAGGGAGCGGTGACCGCACACGGAAGGACCTGATGTTTGCTCAGGGGCAGCTTCCGTCAAAGTCAGCAGAGAGCAAGCTCCCTTCCTAGAAAGGGCTGGGAAAGTAGTGGGGAGAGCCATGAAGTTGGACCCTTCGTGCAGCTCCGCGGGTCCCTCTCCCGAAGAAGCCATCTCTCAGGACGGAAACGTTTGCACGAAGATGTACCATGCAATACTTTTATCCCAGCTGAAAATGGGGGGAAAACCTAAAGTCCAAAAATAGGGGATTGTAAACACAGTACATACCCAGTGGTGTTACAGAGCCATTTAAAATGATATCATCACGCAGGGGGAACACTTTAAAGGGTGCAGAATGTAAAAAGCACATGAGCCTAATTCCAAACCAATTTAAGCATCAGCAGAAGGAAATATAGTAAATGTTAGCATTAATTTTTCCATCTTTTCAGCTTATTTCTAATTTTCTTTAATTATGATGAGTGAATTTGTAAATGAAAGATCACATCGCACACACATACACACTCAGATTTTTCGGCAAAGAGGCATGCAGGGTCTTAGTTCCCCAACAGGGAACTGGACCTGTGCCCCCTGCAGTGGAGGAATGGGGTCTTAACCGCTGGACCAGCAGAGAAGTCCCATTTTTTTAATTTGGTGGTGGTTTAGTCACTCAGTCGTGTCTGACTCTTTGCAAGCCCATGGACTGTGGCCCGCCAGGCCCCTCTGTCCATGGGATTCTGCAGGCAGGAATACTGGAGTGGGTTGCCATTTCCTTTTCCATTTTTTTTTTTAAATTTGGGGGACTTTAAAAATATATATACATATATTTTAGAAACTGGTCAAAAATGATGTGTGTGTAAAACAGTCACTGCATCACTTTACAGAAATTTTGAAAAGATAGTTGTCCTCCAGGTATGTGCAGTTCTAACACATCAGTCCCTTACTTTACTCTTAGCATTGAGACAGTTGACCTACTGACAGGAGTATTGGCTAGATCTGGGCAGATTTGTTCAGTAAAGGACCTCATGTGCACAGTCAGCCCAAAGGCCAGATGTTTCAGAAAGAGGATGTTTGGTCCTACAGGCAGTCCTGCACATTTGATGAATGTTTATAAGGAATCGTTCTTTCTCCTCTAAACCAAGACAGAGACACTGATAGGTGTAGGCAATACACTGGACAGGGGATTCTATGGGGAACGAAAGCAGACAGTGTGTGTCCTGCTGGCCTTTACCAGCTGCTGGGAGAGATGGGACTGATCAATCATCCAGCCACACATATCAATCCCCAGAGCTCCTATGGGGAGGCGAGAAAGCTGAGAGCTGCTCAGGGCATTGGAGCAAGGCAGTCAGGGGTTGCCACGGAGCCAGGGCCGGAGGAAAAGCAAATGTGACCAAGAGGAAAGTTATTTGTGTTCCCTGGAGAGGAATCAGTGTGAGCAATGGCCCTGGGGCAAGAGTGAGTAATTCCAAGGAGTAATGAGGAACAAAAAAGACCAGAGACACTTGGAAGGGGCCAAACACAGCTCAGCACATGCAGGCGGCATTCAACGCAGCAAGCAGAAGTGCGAGGTGGGAGCATGCTTGGGCGACCCACGCTGTCCAAGGCCACTTCAGGCTGGGCCGCTGAGCACTCGGGATGTTGTGTCCACTTGGTCTTGTCCACACCATTTGCTGTGATTAGACAAGCCCTCTCAGGGATCTGTCTCCTGTGTGTTGCAGGGATTTTAAAGGCATCATCCTGAGCCTCCTCTGGGAAAGCAACGAGCTCCTGCTGACGGTCGTGGAGGTAAGGGCTCTGCCTGCCCTCCTGCCATCTGCTGGCCACACACCCCCAGCGGGCTCTCCCCCCACCTTCTGCCAATAATGACCTTTGGGTAAAACTGAGGAGAGGGGACTACAGCCCCTGTGACCACAGCTGCCCAGCTTCTATCACCTTGTGTGGTGTTTCTCATCCTAGAATTAAAGCTCATCCAACCATTTGCCCATTTATTCCACCACCAAACCTTTCTTGGGTCCTGTGTGTCAGACATTTAGCACACCCGATATCAGGAGCAAGCCTGGTCTCTGCCCCGGAGTGGCCAGCTCCCAGCAGAGAACGACATGTGATGGCAGCACAGAGGGTGGGTGGGGCTGTGGGAGCAAGTGTCTGGGGTGGGGGGGCCTCTGGTAGGAGCAACCCAGGGCCCCGGTCCAGTGCATCCCACACAGGGGTGTCTGTGGCTCCCTGTCGGCGTCCCCCTGGGTGGGAGTCTTTGGAGCAGAGCTCGGGGCCATCTGTGTTAGTGGCCCCGCTTGGCACTCCATAGAAAGCTCTTGGTCTCATGGGTGGAAGACCCATCTTCATCTTGAAGGATGTGTAGAGTTTTACCGTTGACTTGCTTGTGCCTCGCGTAGCTCTGGGACAGTGACAGTGGTGACAGGGACAGAGGGAGGAGGGAGACCCCAGAGGAGGGGACAGGGACAGAGGGAGGAGGGAGACCCCAGAGGAGGGGACAGGGACAGAGGGAGGAGGGAGACCCCAGGGGCGGGGACAGGGACAGAGGGAGGAGGGAGACCCCAGAGGAGGGGACAGGGACAGAGGGAGGAGGGAGACCCCAGAGGAGGGGACAGGGACAGAGGGAGGAGGGAGACCCCAGAGGAGGGGACAGGGACAGAGGGAGGAGAGACCCCAGAGGCGGGGACAGGGACAGAGGGAGGAGAGACCCCAGAGGCGGGGACAGCGGTTGAGAAGATCAAGGGGTGAGGAGAGCACAGCGGGGGATGCCAGGGTCTTGGGCCTGGCCCCCTGGAGAGGGGCCTGGCGCCCACCCTGCCCACCCTCTCCTGTAGGAGTATTACCGCAGAGAGAAACGCTCAGTCGCCAGGCCCGACTGCGTGTATGAAACCTTCGACCAGTGCGCAGAGGACATCTGCAGGAAGGTCCTGGAGTACCGCAGCCAGGCAGACGACTACCACAACTCCTGCCTCCTAGGTAGGTGTGACCAGCAGGCAGGTGGCAGGTGGTGGCCACTCACAGCCTGAATGGTGCCCTCCCGACCTGGAGGTCACATGGAGGCAGAAGAACCTCCCTGTGAAAAACTGACATCCTAAATGAGGCAAAAAACCTTGATCAGATTTAACTGGGGAAAAAACAATGCCCTCCCCGCAAAAAGGTTAAGTTTTCTTGAGAAATACGGTGATTTGTATCACTAAAAATGTTTCACTCTTTGAAAATTTTTTACAGCTTTATTAAGATATTCCCTCAATGAAATAGGGGGGAAAGGGGGAATGGGATGAACTGGGAGATTAGTATTGACATATATACACTACCATGTGAGAATCTGCCGGCAGTGCAGGAGATGTGGGTTCAGTCCCTGGGTCAGGAAGATCCCCTGGAGGAGGAAATGACAACCCACTCCAGTATTGTTACCTGGGAAATCCAGTGGACAGAGAAGCCTGCTACAATTCAGGCTACAATTCAAAGGGTCACAAAGAATCGGATGTGACTGAGCAATTGAACACGCACACAAATGTAAGCTAGATAGCTAGTGGGAAGCTGCGTTACAATTCAGTGGGTTTTAATATGTTCACAGAGTTGTGCAACCATCACCACTGTGAATTTCAGAACCTCTATCCCTCTATCATGTCCCCAGCCCTCAGCAACCACTAACCTACTTTCTGTTCATCCATTGTTAGAATGTGTCAGGTAGCCTTTTTATGGCTGGATCATATTCCATAGTGTGCATACACCGTAGTTTGTTTGTTTGTTCAGTGGTAGACATTTGGCTGTATCCGCCGTCTGGCAATTACGGATGGTGCTGCTGTAAACACTCATGTGCGTGTTGTGTGTGGATGTATGACTTCATTTCTCCTGGGTGTGTAACTAGGAGTAGACTTGCTGGGTCATATGGGGCCTCTGTGTTTAATCATTTGAAGAATCCTTCCACCGTGTCGAGTGTGTGCCTGGGCTGTGATGAACTTAATAGACACAGCCTCCTAGAGAACAGGGACATGAAAACAGGCAGGTGGGATATATCTTGCCGTTTATGTTGATTATATTGACATAAAAGGAGCTGTGAAAACACACTCATAGCTGCCTCTCTCCTTGCCCAGTTCTCCATGTCCACAGCCTTACGTGTTTTTGCTAATGATCTCTATGGCGTTAAGTCCTGATTACCTCTACTTGTAAGGCAGGGAACCTAAGGGCCCATTACAGGCCTGCTATGGGTTGAGGGGCAGCCGGGGTAGAAAAGGGAGAGGATTGGGGGTAGCCAGACCTGAGATCAAGACCCAGCACTGCCGTCCCCAGCTGTATGACATGGACCAAGTCCCCTCCCCTTGCCTGCAAATGGAGCCAAGGATGACAGCCACCATGCAGGGGTTTTTTGAGGACTCAGCCCCTCACAGCCTTGCCGTCTCCAGGGGAAATCAACAATGGCTGTCATTCCTGTAGTTGTAGAATGACTGGAATTGAAACCACAGGCAGCGTTTGGTTTCTCTAGCTCAGAGCTTCCCCCGATGTGGGGTTCCATCCTCTGTGATCTTCCTCAAAAGACAGGTTCCATGGTCACACGGGTTTGGGAGATGCTGCAGATCATGTCCCTCCTGGGAAGGCTGACAGTTCACATGAAATGAAGACTTCCATTTCCTACAGGGAGTCCAAGTATCCTGGGCAACTCTCCCACTGAACACATGTAAAAATCCTGGGTATAACACTTTTGTGATAAACTTTTAAGTGCATGGATGAGCTAGCTGTAAAGTAAGAAACGCTAAGGCCTCAGGATTAAGTGAGAATAGGAACACAGACTAACCGAGCAGTGACTCTGGCTTTGGCCCTGAGGGCTTGGCTGACTCTCAGGTCCTCTTGAGCCTCTATTGTCACGGCCTCCAGGGCACCGGGGCCAGAGACCAGGCCCCAGACCGCCCAAGGCGTGCAGCCCGAAAGGGCACAAGCCACAGAGAGCTGGGACTCCCCAGGGCGCCGTCTGCAGAGTCAAGAGAATGAGACAGAAACCAAACCTCCTCCCTCACTAACTAGAAGGAAGGTGTCTTGTTATAAGCCATGGCGCTGGGCAAAGAAGAAAAACTCTAATGAGAATCTGTAAGTCAGGCCTTTTGTGGTGTTTAAACTGAAGTTGCACTCAGATAAACGTAAATTCAACTCTGTGTTTGTGGATCATCCAAGAGATTTCTATATGATAGCTTAAAATGATTTGGAGTGTGTCATGCCCAGATGCTTGTTTAGTAGAGATACTATAAATCCTCTCCAGGCCTCCAGGGATTCCCACACATAAAATGCCCCAAATAAGAGCTCCCTGTAAAACAAAACACACACACACACCCCACAGCAAAAAGGTACCCTCAGCATGAGGCAACAGAATGAGATCAGTAAGGACTTCAGATATTGAATGTGTCAGACACAGAATATAAAATACAGTAATTGTTTTGAGTTAAAGAGGAAATTAGAAATATGAGTAAGGAGCACAAGACTATTAAAGTGAGCAAGTAAATATGAACCAAATAAAGAGAAACCAAATAAAAAGAGAACCAAATAAAGCTTTATGTATATTGGAAAAATAAATCATTGAAATTTTAAAATTATGAGTGGCTTTAGTGCCAAACAAAATAACCAAAAATGTAACACAGGAAAACTAAAGGACTAGAAATACAGGAGAAAGGTGAAGAGAGATGAAGGAAAAAGTAGATCTGGCATGCAGCTCCTTAGAGGTCCAGAGGGAGAGGAGGAGACTTGGGTCTGGGTAATATTTGAAGAGAGAATGGATGAAATAGAACTACTGAAAGATGCAGTGCGGTTTATAAGGTGCTGGCAAGTCCTACAGTGTGAGAAATCCTTTGAACTTGCTTAATCCAGTATCTTTAATACCAGTTTGCCCACGGGACCCCTTTTGACGGAAGAGCTATTACCACACTGGAGACCAAGCGTCTCTTTGTGAAGCTGCATCGAGCCTTTGTTGGAGAGATGGCCTCAGCAGCTGGCTCGGCTCAGTCCGACCCCCGACCCCCCACCCCCGATTCCTACAGAATTACGGGCCCAGATGAGGAGATTTGAGGAGCTTCTGCCCCAGGCATGTTGGCTGGTGATGGAGAATTTCAGGGAGCACCACTGGAAAAAATGCTGCGCCTCCACCAAAGATATCAGAAGACAATTCTTGAATCACCAGGGACAGCTGGAGAAAAGGAAGGTGGGGCCCCGGGATCTCCCTGGGGTTCAGACATAGAGGCGGGGCCTCAGCAGAACTGAGTCCCAGGGAAGGAGCTGGGCCAGGCCTGGGATTGTCGGGTGGGGGTGAGGGACACTAGGCACTTAAGAGCCGAGCCCAGTGCTCGGCTGTCGGGTCCAGCACATTCCTCGTTGGTTGTAGCAGGTAGGGTGGCTGGTTCTGTGGGCTGTGGACCTTGGGATCAACAGTGATTGTCCACTCGGTCCTTGGAATCAGGGGACGCTCATGCTGTTGATTTTATTGGTCTGAATCCCTGATTGTTCCGGGGAAGATGCTTAGCTCTCCCACTTCCTAACCCTCGGAGTTGGCTCCAGCCGTTGCTTAAAATGATTTGGAGTGTGTCATGCCCAGATGCTTGTTTAGTAGAGATACTATAAATCCTCTCCAGGCCTCCAGGGATTCCCACACATAAAATGCCCCAAATAAGAGCTCCCTGTAAAACAAAACACACACACACACACACACACACACACACACCCCACAGCAAAAAGGTACCCTCAGCATGAGGCAACAGAATGAGATCAGTAAGGACTTCAGATATTGAATGTGTCAGACACAGAATATAAAATACAGTAATTATTTCGAGTTAAAGAGGAAATTAGAAATATGAGTAAGGAGCAAAAGACTATTAAAGTGAGCAAGTAAATATGAACCAAATAAAGAGAAACCAAATAAAAAGAGAACCAAATAAAGCTTTATGTATATTGGAAAAATAAATCATTGAAATTTTAAAATTATGAGTGGCTTTAGTGCCAAACAAAATAACCAAAAATGTAACACAGGAAAACTAAAGGACTAGAAATACAGGAGAAAGGTGAAGAGAGATGAAGGAAAAAGTAGATCTGGCATGCAGCTCCTTAGAGGTCCAGAGGGAGAGGAGGAGACTTGGGTCTGGGTAATATTTGAAGAGAGAATGGATGAAATAGAACTACTGAAAGATGCAGTGCGGTTTATAAGGTGCTGGCAAGTCCTACAGTGTGAGAAATCCTTTGAACTTGCTTAATCCAGTATCTTTAATACCAGTTTGCCCACGGGACCCCTTTTGACGGAAGAGCTATTACCACACTGGAGACCAAGCGTCTCTTTGTGAAGCTGCATCGAGCCTTTGTTGGAGAGATGGCCTCAGCAGCTGGCTCGGCTCAGTCCGACCCCCGACCCCCCACCCCCGATTCCTACAGAATTACGGGCCCAGATGAGGAGATTTGAGGAGCTTCTGCCCCAGGCATGTTGGCTGGTGATGGAGAATTTCAGGGAGCACCACTGGAAAAAATGCTGCGCCTCCACCAAAGATATCAGAAGACAATTCTTGAATCACCAGGGACAGCTGGAGAAAAGGAAGGTGGGGCCCCGGGATCTCCCTGGGGTTCAGACATAGAGGCGGGGCCTCAGCAGAACTGAGTCCCAGGGAAGGAGCTGGGCCAGGCCTGGGATTGTCGGGTGGGGGTGAGGGACACTAGGCACTTAAGAGCCGAGCCCAGTGCTCGGCTGTCGGGTCCAGCACATTCCTCGTTGGTTGTAGCAGGTAGGGTGGCTGGTTCTGTGGGCTGTGGACCTTGGGATCAACAGTGATTGTCCACTCGGTCCTTGGAATCAGGGGACGCTCATGCTGTTGATTTTATTGGTCTGAATCCCTGATTGTTCCGGGGAAGATGCTTAGCTCTCCCACTTCCTAACCCTCGGAGTTGGCTCCAGCCGTGCCTCAGTCTTGCGTACCCTGCCACTCCTCTGCCTGTCCACAACCCTTCACACACACCCGGGTCAACGCACACACCAGTCTAGCCGTGGCCATAGTTGGCAGAGGACATAGGCCAGTGACTTCTTAGTCCTGACCTCAAGACCGGGTCAAAAAACCCACTGATTTCTGGATTGTCTGAAGGATGAAAATGCCCAGAAGCTCCACCCAAATCTCGGACACCCTGCGCAGCTCCAGGATATGGAGTCTCTCTGCCAAGTGGAAGAGAAGAGGCAGGGAGACCTGGACAGCCTGATTGTGGTCACCAAGGACAAGCTGGAGGTCAGTGGTGCCTTCTGCTCCCGGGTTTGGGTGCTGAGGGCTGCCCTGCCCTCCCGCGGTCGCCCCAGCCGACAGCCCGCCAACAGCAGCGCTGAGCCCGGCCCTACGCCGGCACCCCGGCCAAAGCAGCACGTGAAAGTGGGCGGGTTTTATGGTGAGATGGTCTTTATTGGCGGTTTTAACTTCCTTTTTAGAATTTCTAAATTAATTAATTAGTAATGAGAAATTTTTTTCTCCCAAGATCCATGTCAAGTTTTCTTTCCTCTTTGGTAAATTGTGTGTGTGCCTTCGCCATTGCAGAACCATCTATCTTCAAGTCACTCTTAGGAGAAGCCTCCTGAAGAGAGACCAGATGCCCGTTAACTTGGACACAGTTGACTCATGGCCCTGGTTTTGTCTCACGCATTGTCTCACCCATCTTCGGCCTGCCTTTGGAGGCAGGGTCCCCTCCTTATAACACCATGCTCCCCGTGTTTCCTCCAGGAATGCACACGGAAGTACGCCCGGTTTTTCATAGCCAGCTTGGCCACCTTCACCGAGAAGTTCCTGCTGCAGTTGGATGAGGTGGTCACCATTGACGACATCCAGGTTGCAAGTATGCGCCCCGCTGGCCTTGTGCCGTGGCTCCAGGGGGTTGGTGACATAGGTGATGGGTCTGGAGGGGTCTGCTTTCCCCCAGCTCCACCAGTATGAAAACAGATACTCTATTGAGGGGACTGATGAATTTTTTGCATCTTTTTTTAATTAAAACAAATCCCCAATGAGTCAGATTACATATAAAAAATGAGTTTCTAATACTAAATATTTTCATAATCTTGGGGTAGGGACAACTTTCCTAAGTTTGAGAGCTAGAAGCTATAAAGGAATGGTGTGTACCTCCCTGTGGCCAAAACAGAAATAAGGGAAAATGTCAAAAGATGGAAGGACAAACCGCAAACTGGAAAAATATTTCTGATAACTAATAGGTCAGAGAATGGCCTGATATTCCTGTGGTATGAAGCGTTCTTAACAGGTCAAGTTTTTGAAAAGGACAAACATGCAATTCAAAAGGTCAATAAATGTTGAAAGATGCTTGACTTCACCAATGATGAAAAGTGCAGATATAAACTTTGTTAAGATACCATTTCTCTCCAAGAGCCTGGCAAAGCTTTTAAATTCAGTGACACCCAGCTCTGGTGAGGCAGGAACCCCAGCACCGAAGCGCCCCTCGGAGAAGTGTACCCCCGCCCCTTCTCTTGGAGAACCCTCTGTTGGTGACCTCAAAGTCCTGAGCGTGTGTGCTTCGACCTAGCTGTTCTAACCCTGGGAACTTATCCGGCAGAAATACTTGCATACTTTTTCCAAAGATATATTTTCAAGTATATTCTTCACAGCAGTGCTTGAAATTGCAAAGAATTGGAAACAGTGTTAATATCCATGTATGAAGGACTGGATAAATTATGGTCCAGATATAGGAGGGAATTCTCTGCAACTGTTCAGGTGGGTGTGGTAGGCCTCGGTGCCAGCTGGAAACCCCTGAAGGAAAATTGTCACAGGAAAAAGCAAGGTGACAATTATACTTAACCTGTAATACTATCTTAAAAAACACATAGGTGACATAAACGTGCACCCTCACTTGCATATAAATGAGTCTGTGTGAGAGAGAAACAGAGGCACGGAGGGACAGGTGCCCTCTCAGGCGGGTGCCTCTCTGCTGATGACCGCCTCTGCTGAGCGGGACCGTGAGAAATTTCTGAAGGCGTTTCTTTTTCCCCATTAGAGGATGTTTAAATTTTTTATACTGTGTGAATTGCTTTTGTCACTATACAAAGACTCAAATCATATATTAAATATTATATTAAATATTGTCCATTTATCTCTCACCTATTAAGTAATTAAAATGTGTTATTTTTATTTTTTAAGCTTGTATTGCAAAGACAATGACTATTTTTATAGTAAAATAAGAAATTCAATATGAGTTACAAAGAAAGAGAAGAATATGGTCCTTCCTCCCAGAAATAGGTGCCAGTAACATGGGCTCCTGGTCATTCCCCTTTGGTCACTGGCCTGTGTGTGTATCAGCGGGGGGATGGGAGGGTGGATCCCGGGTGTGTGCTCCTTGTAACCTGATGCCCCCTGGGCGGATGCTGGCCAAGCCAGTCATCGTCTTCAGGAGCACTTCAGTCGCTGTGCATCTTACTTTGTTAGTTAGTCCCCTGCGGGTGCATACGGGCCTTGTCTAGCTTTTCACTCCTCTAATTGTGCTGGAAGGAACATTTGCATCGGTATTTCTCTATTTGGGGGCAACAACTTCCTAGAAGTGGATTTTCCAGGTCACAATGTATGTGCACGCTGAGGTGTTGGCCACTGTCTAGTTATGGAGGTCTCTCTGGCACGTGTGAGCCTGGTTTGGGAAAGCGGAGCCTGCAGAGATGCTGGGGTTCAGACAAGAGGGGGAACAGTGGAGCCAGCAGGGAGGCAGCCTCGGCACCTCGGAGGGAACCCCTGGGCCAGGAAGACCCCCTGCATCAGGCCCGTGGGATCCTCGCCTGCTCTGTAACTCGGGCTCCTGAGCTGAGTGGCCTGGCCCAGGCATGCCTGCAGACCAGGGTGCAGAGAGCTGCTCTGGCCTGCTGGTCTCACTCCAGGAACAGAGCCCCTTTGTCTCCATGTCAAACAGCAGGTCAGTGAGCCAGACATGAGAGAGGCAACCTCGAATGTGTTCATTCCAGGAGAAATTCTTAGTTCAGGACCCCTCTGAGCTAGTATAGGCCAAAGAAGTCTCCAAAGAGCATATTCAGGAGCTCATAGAAGCTGCGAGAAGGTCAGAGCATCATACATAGGATTTTGGAGCTGGGATGCACACCCAAACCACTCCTCACATATTCCAGCTTTAACCCTCCTGCCTGAGACTCTTAGTGTGGAAGAGGGGAGCAAGGTTTCATTTCTGTAAATGTAAGGTCAGGGATCCCCTTGATATCAGGCTGTGGGTGAGGCCCCCGTCAGTAACCCATCTCTTGCTTGCCAGAGGTGGAGCCGCCCAAACAGGAAACCTCAGTCCTAATACGGAGGAAACTGGCCGGGCTGTCCCTGGAGGGAGAGAGTGAGAAGCTCCTCATTGAACGGGGGAGCAGGTGAGAGCTGGGAGCAGCCTGTGCTTGCTGGGAGGAGTCTGGTGGGATGAGGAGGGGCCCGGGCTCTGAAGTCGGACAGACCTGATAACTTTGGAAAGGCTTTGTGTCTTAAGCCTCAGTTTCCTCATCTGTGAAATGGGCATGGCAGCCTCCCTCACATGATATCATGAAGAGGAAGCTCGATGAGATTGTGCTTGCAGTGCCTGTGGCTCAGCAGCTGTTCGGTCGTGTGATAAGTACCCATGAAAGGACCCCCAACTAAAGAGAGGCCTGTCCCAGCGCGGGGTACCTTCTCAGGCTGCTGGCGGTACTGGGGTTCACTGCAGCTGTCTGTCATGTATGACAAGAGCTGTAGATGTGCTTGTCCCCGGTACCCCAGGAATGTGACTCTGGAAGAAGTAAGGCAGTGACTTACCCAGCTAAATTGTCAGCAGTGGTTTTTTATCATGGTAGGAAAAGCAAGCCAGGAACTGATGACTGGCATCTGGCTGGGGGAGTGATAAGGAAACCGAGATCCAGAAAAGGGAAACCCGTAGAGGCATGGGATTCTGCTTCCCCATGCAGAACTCAGCTGTCTCTGCACATGGATGTAAGCTGTATGAAAATGCCAAAAAGAAGTTGAAGGAGTTTAATCTTAAATGCTCGGTAGAGTTTTTCTTTTAATTAAGGCTTTTAAAGCATGATAATTTTTTTTTAAAGAAATGCTAACCGTTTCCACTAGAGACGGAGGGTGCACAGTGAATGATGAAGCTAAGCCTGTAGGACTTTTCATGCATGTTTATTTGTAGAAAGTGGCCAGGAATCAAACCTACTGAAGTCACCATCCAAAACAAAATTCTCCTCCGGAAAACGCCATGTATCACAACCACCAAAACGACCCTGGGCCACCTGGCATCCGTGGAAGCCCGAGATGCCGTCTACCTGGTGAGTGAAGAGACGCGGTGGAGGGGGTGTGGCCCCGGGAGCACAGGGCAGCTCCGTGGCTGCCGTGGGAAGAGGGAGGGGGCTTGTCATCACCAGGTGCCCTGGCGTCTGGTCAGACGGCACACATCAGGGTACCCCAGGGCACAGCCAGCATCCTCAGGCACCAGGACGTGGGCCACAGCTCCGGTCCAGAGCCAGCAATAGCTCAGGTCTCACGGCGTGAGCCCCAGTGCCACAGGAGCCCAGCTGAGAGACGCCACACCCAGGCTGGAGGGCAGAGGAGGGCGCTCCAGCGAACAGTGAAGACAGTGCGAGGGGACAGGGTCGTCAGAGGCTCGGAGGCCATGGGAGCAGGCAGCGATGATGGGTGGGATAGTTACTGAGCATCTGCGGCAGCTTCTGTCCTCGACACAAGGCTTCCGCTGGCTCCCTGGAGCCAGCCCATGGGGAAGGTAGAATGGTCCCACGTTACTGCAGAAGACAGCGAGTCATAAAGAGGTGTGTCCCCTCTGTGCCACCAAGAGTCACAGCCAGGATTGGAGCCAGGCCTGTTAGACCCGCGGGGCTGCCCGAAGAGGAAGTTGCACCCGAGGCTGCCTGCGGGACCTGGCAGCTCCAAGGATGTCTGGACCGACGGTTCCGGTTCCCCAGAGAGAAACCTCGTGCTGCCCAGAGATACGCTGACCCTCGTATCTGGGACCCCTCCGTGCGTAGGCAGGCCCTTGCCCAGCCACCAAGCTAAGCCCCAGGCAGTGGGCACAGTTCTGCTGCCGAGCTCAGTGAGGACCTAAGACCTCGTGGGTTCAGCCTCTCAAGGAAGCCGGGACCCCTGCGCTTCAAGGAGACTGTAGTGTGATGGTTAGGAAGGAGGGCAGAGCCCAGAAGCAGGGGGACCAGGAGCCTAGTCACTGCTCAGTCAGGTCTTAGTTATATAACCTCAGGCGAGGCTGTGAGCCTCAGTTTTCCCATCTGTAAAATGTGGAAAACAGCGAGGCCTGCCTGAGCTTTTACTGGACAGAGTACATGAGAAATGACTTGTGGAACTCTTACCAGTGCCTGGAATGGGTTCCAAGCCCCCCGTCAGCAGGTCACAGCACCCCTCTAGAGCACAGAGTGTCCGCTAGGGGCACAGTCCAGAAGTCCTTCCTCACGTGGCCTCTTCCTGCTGCTTGCTCCCAGAAATATTTAGCGTCATTTGAAGAGGAGCTGAAGAAGGTCCAGGAGGACACCGCACTGCAGGTGAAAGAGGCTCAGCGCTGGAAGGACAGCTGGAGACACTCCGTGAACATCATCCAGGGCCTGTACTTGTGACACTCTCAACCCTCCTTCAATAAATGGCTTATTTTGTGTGGATTCCTCATCCTTCTACCCACCCTTCCATCCATCCGTCTCTGCCCAGGGCTGTAGCCTCACAGTGACGAAGACATGGCCTGGTTCCTGCCCACACGGAGATTACTTCCAATGAGGAAGACAGAGGTGAAAGGGGGCGTTCCACCTGATCAGCCAGGATGGTGAATAACAGGGATGGGTGACTTAAATAGAGACCCACAGTTCAGGGGAAATAACTTCCACAAGGTGTGAGTACTTCATCTTGGAAAATGAATTAATTAAAACTTAAAGCTTTACAACTTAAAGTAGCTCTTAGAAGGAAATTTAAAAAAATAAAAAATAAAACTTAAAGCTTACAGGAAAGAGTATATTGCACATTTAACAAAATGCGAGTTTTTGTTGCAACTGTGCACTGATTCCTAGACACAGCAGAGACTTCATCCGGTGTTGGCTGGGTATCTGGTTATTTGTATGACCAAACAATAACCTTGTGGCAGAAATCTCCTGGGCCTCCTTAACTTGACCGGTGACGCTCAGATCACTGTCTCTGGAAGCTGGCTTCCCACCGTCTTCCTGTTGCCTTGCTCTTCCTCGGTGGCCCCGCAGCCTCCTGTGACCAGTGGCAGTGGTCGGCAGCTGTCTGCGCCCTGTGGGCAGGCGGCTCACGTCCTTCCTCCATTTCCTGAGCTCCTGCTGTGCCAGTGTGGTTTGTATGTTGATGGTGCCTCAGTTCCCGGTTCCATGTGCTTTGTCTCGACTTGATGAGGTAAGTATCACCTGCATTTTACGGCTGTGGAGACTCAAGTCCAGAAGGTCAAAGCCAAGGACTTGGAGGCGCATTGTTTTGGGGATGATCCCAAGAAGCAAGAGTGAGGACATGGGAAAAAGGAGCCTGAAAGCAGAAAAGTCACTGGAAGAGGCTTTCAGGGGTGGCCCCTGCTGGGGGTGACCAGGCTGTGTCTCACTGGAAAACAGCCTCCCAGCCGGCCTGACTCTGTCCATCCGGGCGGAGAGTTGCCTGGGCATTAGCGCCGCCACACTATCCCTCGCTCCAGCCTGCAGGACAGGAATCTCCTGTGGTACCAGAAGAGCCCCCGGGCAGGGGCGTCTCACCTCACACTGGCTGGAGCGAGCTCCCCAGCCAAGGTAGATGCAGGTAAGCCACGGGGATGTGAGCGCAGCGTCACCGCCTGGCGGTTTTCCGAACCTAAAGCCAGGCCGCTACGCAGCACTCTGCCACTGTGCCCTCTCCTCCAAGTAGCAAGTGACGCCTGCACAGCCCCTTCCAGCTTGGGGCATGCTCTGCGGGTACACGCTCTAATTCAGTCCTGCCGCGGACAGGGTGGCAGTCACCGTGTAACCCCTGTTTTGTAAATAAAGAAGCTGAAACGTGGAGAAAAGAAGATCTCTCCAGTCACTCAGCACCAGTGTGCTGCAGCCGGGGTTCCAGCCTGGCTCTGGCTGTCCCGGAAACTCAGCCTGGAGTGAATACACCTGGGTGCTTTGTAAGTAAGAAAGGACCCGGAGAAACGAGGGGTGCTCCCTCTCCCCTCTGCCAGCCTTGGAGTCTCTGCACCACCACCCGCTCCGGCCAGCCACGGGGCAGCAGGATGGAGGACGGTGTAGGCGTGGGAGCAGGACAGCCTGTGGTCAGTCCCTCTCCACTTTGATGTTGCTGAGGTCCCAGTGGGCAGAGAAAGCGCGAGGAAGCGCGCCTGCTGCGGCAGGAGCCCTGGGAGGGGGCACAAGCCTAGGGTGGGGATTGGGGGCCCCTGCTGCCCAGACAGAGCCTGCACAGTGGCGGAGCCAGGGAGCTGGCGGGGGCAGCGTTGGGAGGCCCGGGCCAGCCCCTCAGTGCTGTGTGGCCTGCTGAGTCCAGCTTGCTTACCTGTGCAGTGGGGACACGGGCTGCGCCCTCCCAGCCCACTGCACCCATGAGACCCGGCCTGCCTGGCTGGGCCAGCCTCTGGGCACCGGGCCACAAAGCTGAGGGCTCAAGGCAAAAGCCATGCCCTTTCCACTTCTCATCCCCCACCTAGGGTGCCGCCGTCCACTGTTTTCCTTACGATTCCAAAGGGAAGAGACATTCGTTACAGGAAATAAAGGACCAAAGGAGCAAAAAGAAGACTATAAACACCCTGGCATCCAGAGATAGCTCTTCCCTACACCCTTTTTCATGTGTGTGTATGTGTGTGTGTTATATTTGCCGAATGGAACCATGATGTGCGTTTGGTTGTGTACGTTGGTTTTCGGATTTCAGCTGTGTGCGCGGTCTCCTTATCTTTAAACAGCCACTTACAGCCTCGGTTTTCATCCTCTGCCAGCTCTGCCCAGCATGCGGATGGACCTCACGCGGGTCAGTGTCCTCACGCTCCCTCAGCCGAGACCGTCAGGAAGCAGCACCCATCCTCACGGGGAAGACTGCTCTCCAGTCTTTTTGTTTTTTCTGCACCCGAACATAATCCACTGACTCAGCTCATGGCCCACTAAGGGGTCTTGTCTGCAGTGCCCCACTGCCAGAGGAGCCAGGTCCCCTCTCGGACAAGGTGGGGTGTCCACTGTGGGGCTCTTAGATAAAAGGCATCCACCCACCCACACGGACTCTGTGCACATCTCTAGCCCTTGCCTCTGGCTTCTGGAAGCTGACTCCCTGAGTCAAAGGCGAAGGCATCTGGGGACCCGGCACAAATCACCCTCCAGGAGAAGACTCAGGGTCCCTCCCACCACGGAGGACTCAGGGCCTGCTTCCCTCATGCACACCAAGTATTGTACTTACAGCAGCTTTGGGGGAATGTTTTTTCTTTTTTTTTTTTCTTTTGGCTGACTCAGCAGATGACAAATGACCTCTAATTCACAGTCTTATTTTTACTTTTCTAAGGATGAGTGAAGGTACACTTTTCATCACCAGTCATTTCCAAAATGTGGCCACTTTTCCCAGTCCTGGGGTGAGCCTGCTGATCACGACCCCCTGGGCATCTCCAGGGGGTGCAGTCCATGTTCCATGTTCAGCCAAGAAGCTCCATTGCTTGTGCTGTTGCAGAAACCAGTGATCAACAAACCAAGCCCCACACTCGGAGAGTTGGTGAACTCAGGTTTATTACATCGGCAGGCCCAGAGGAGTTAACACGCCAAGCTCTGAGTCCCGAACAAAGGGGTTACGGAGTTTTTATACACGGACAGGCATGATTAAGCAGGTTTGCGGGTTTGCAGGGGCTGGGCAATTGCAAAGAGCAGGACAAGGGTGAGTGAGATGAGCTCCAGTTTCTAGTGTTCTAAGTCCCCACTTTCTGAGACTACGTGACCTACGTGATCCAGACTTTGCAAGAAGCAAGCTGAGTTACAGAGGCAGAAGGAACAGGAGGTTATGTAAAATTTTAACTTTTCCTCTTCAGTGCAACTGCTAAGTGGTTAGTGACTGACGTGTGACCCACAAGATGCAGGAAGAATGATGGGAGGTCACTTCCAAAACGTAATGACAAAAACATCCGTCCCTTCCCTCTTACCTGCTCTCTCCTGTGTCCCCTCTCCGACCCTCCCTCCTGCTCACCGCCTCCCCTCCCACTTCTCTCTCTCTCTCTCTCTGTTCTATCTCTGGATCTGCGGAAGCAGGCACCCATGTTATGAGCTGCCCTGAGTAGCTGTCACAAGGAGAGAACCATGGGAGCACTCAGGCCAACAGACAGGAACTCAGACTCTCAGTCCAAACACAGCCCTGCAGCCTGTGGATGAACGGGAGCAAATCCTCCCCAAGCTGAGCCCAACTGAAGCCACAGCACCTGCCTGTGAGACACCCAGAAGCAGAGCAACCCAGCCAAGCCGTGAACAGGCACCCAGACCACACTGAGTTAGATAGTAGATATTTGTAGTTCTAAGGTGCTAAATTTTGGAGCGATGAGGAACCGACAGCTAACACAGTCCACAGGCCCTAGGTCCCAGTCCCACCCTCCCCCCCGTGACCTGCCCCTCCTCCCTGGGCTCGCTCCAGCTGCACCAACTACCTTCCTGGCCCTCTGCCCATACTCGCCTCTGCCTGCCAGTCTCTGCCCGTGTGCTGCCTTCTCCCTCTCATCACCTGTGAGGTGAGTCGCTCAGTCGTGTCTGACTCCTTGCGACCCCGTGGACTATACAATCCATGGAATTCTCCAGGCCAGAATCCTGGAGTGGGTAGCCTACCCCTTCTCCAGCGGATCTTCCCGACCCAGGAATTGAACTGGGGTCTCCTGCATTGCAGGCAGATTCTTTACCAACTGAGCTATCAGGGAAGCCCCATCTGGTCCCTACCAATTTCACCCCAGGGAGGTCTCTCGGACTGTCCTACCAAGTGACTCCCAAGTCCTTCCTCAGAGCTTCATCTCAAGCCCTTGAAAGGCACTCTCCTTTCACATGTCCTTGGCTTCAGGCTTCTGCCCATGTCCATCTCCCTCCAGACTGTGAGCTCGTGGCAGGCAGAGACCACTCCGTCATCTTCAGTATCACACCCGACCTCCAGGGCACCTGGGGAAGGTGAGTGACTGCTTGGTGATGAAGTGGGGGGATTTGGGAAACCCTTTCTCGATTTTGACCAGCTGAGTCTGGAGTTGAATGCTAGTAACAGGAGATCAAGTTAGCTCTGAGGCTGAGGGACAGCCAGAATGACCTATGCATAACTCTTTCTGCCCCAGTTGCTCCCCAGAAAAGCTCAGTGGGCACCTCAGACATGGGAGGCTGCCTGCCCCCTGGTGTCCAGCCCCAGAACTGCAGCCCTAGGAAAGAACGTCACAAAACCAAACAAGCATACTTCCTTGTGTGAACTTTCAAGGCAATGCTCTCAAGTCCCAGATGAGCAAAGAAGCAGGACCTTCAGGCCCCAAGGGACGCGCCAGGGACCTTGGGAGCCTCACTGGCCGCTCTCTCTGTCCACCCCAAGTGTCCTCTTCACGCACGAGACATCCTCAACTGGGCCAGGATGAAGCCCACCCTCTTTCCAAGCTGAGAGCCCTGAGAGTCCAAGAAAGACCAGTCCTGTCCCTGGACCCTGGACTTGG